CCGCCTCCCCGCCTCTCTTTTCTTTTATCCCAGAACGAGATCAAAAGGAAGAGCGCCCGGCGCTTCTTTTTAGCCCGGTTCCGATGGCCTCGCTTGACTTCTCATGGAAGTATATGAAGACCGCCCACCCACCTCCACCCCCCATCCTTGATTTAGAAACGGGTCCCTCTGGTGCCCCGATTGTGTCTTGAGGACGGAACTGCACGGGATGCCAAGCCCTGGGATGAATTCGGGTTGTTGCCCTCTGTGTGTACGTGTGTGTGATGGGGGTGCTTGGGTTCCGATGGCCTCGCTTGACTTCTCATGGAAGTATATGAAGACCGCCCACCCACCTCCACCCCCCATCCTTGATTTAGAAACGGGTCCCTCTGGTGCCCCGATTGTGTCTTGAGGACGGAACTGCACGGGATGCCAAGCCCTGGGATGAATTCGGGTTGTTGCCCTCTGTGTGTACGTGTGTGTGATGGGGGTGCTTGCGACGGAGGGGGGGGGCTATTGGTCGGATCCCTGGGAAGGGGTTCTCATGGCTGGGCTGCAACTCCTAGTGACGTGGTGGGCAACCCTTCCGACCCCCTTCCCGAGGCACAAAGAATTAAAACAAAATAAAATGGTTGGTGGCAAGACTCTCGGAGTTCGGGAAGGGGGAGAGAGCCTTGTCACCTCGCTTCAGAACTGCGGAGGACTTTGGGGGCCAGCGTTGCAACCCTAAGATTTTGGGTGGGGGTCGTCGTGTTGGATGTCTGGGGATGGGCAGCTCCCTGGTCACCTATAACAGCTAATAATAAACTCCCCTTAATGGTTTCGTGGCCGCGGGGCGATCTCTCAAGAGCAAGAAGCGGAGCCGAGCACACTCTTGTTGAACTACTGTATTGGCATCACACATGCAGATATGTCGACCGTCGTGTGTGCGTGCGTGCCTGTGTGTGTACGGTGTACATATCTATGCAGCAGAATATAACCCCCTCCCTTTCCGAGCATAATGATATGCTTCTCTGTGTGGAAGAGGGGTAACGTTTAACCGACATTTCCTCCTTGAATGGCAAGCGATGGAAAATCCCATCGACCTTAAGATGCAATAATAATGATAAACAGTTCTAGCCATATAAACAGTTGCACTCGAGATGTAAAAGAGGAATGTCTTTTTACTGTGGGGGAATCCGAGGTGCTCTTAACATTTGTGAAGGGGGGGAAATGCCTTTCGGGAAAAGGCACCCCCCCATACGTCAGGGGCTTTTCATCTTTTTGAGCTGTTGGCAGCGTGAGGTAAAACGCGATTCTGAGGCTACGGGTCGGAACTGGGAGGGGGAGTGTTCGCTTTCAATTAAACATCCGTGTTATATGTGAGGAAAGAGGAAGGCGGTGGTGGTGAAGCGGAGCGCTTGCCCTCATAGGAAATGAAAAGTTTATCTGAAAGGTTAAAATGTAGGATAACGCACGGAGAGGATGGGCTGGGCTGGGAGGCAGCGGCGGCCAGGCACAGGCAGCGAAACGCTGCAGGAAGGGCGAGCAGGGAGATGCAAAGCAGCTTTGCCTTTCCCATCACTTGCCCTCTTGGTGCGTGCATGAATGAGGTGTGTGTGTGTGTGTGTGGCGTGAGGGGGGGAAGAGTGAGAGGGACGGTCCTAAGTAACTGAATCGGTGTGACCTGGGTGCATCCAGCTTATTTGGAGTCGGAGTGTCATTTGCAAAATGGCTCTAAAGTTGGCCGAGCGATCAGGGGAAGAAAGGAGCGCGCGCGCTTGTGTCTCGTGGGGGGGGAGAGGAGTACTGTAGTTTGATTAAACTCTGATCTTCTCGGGCTTCGGAGTTTGCCTGGGGCACCCTCGGGAAACTCTTCCCACCATTTGGAAAGAGCCCTGGCTCGTCTCCCCTCCACTTTGGGGATTAGCGGGAGCGAGCCGACTGCGTTATTTCCGTGCCCTCTTCCTTGGGGAAAAGAAAAGCGCAAAGGAGCGGGGGTGCGAGGAGGAGAGGGAGGGATGTTTTTACGGCTTTTGGAAAGGAGAAAACCGGGCGTCGTGGGGACGGGCAAAACTCAAGTATGGGGAGCAGGCAGCTTGCTCCTCCTTGGAAAGGGGAGCCGAGAAGCTCGTTCTGGAAACGGGTGTGTGTGTTTTTCCAGTATCCAGTGTTTTTCCTCACGAGTAGGCGCCTGACGAAAAAAGACGCGATCCCCGCGGGCTGCCTCAGGTGTTGTGGTTCGGGAAAAACTAAACTGAAAGACTGGATGGAGCTCGTGGGTCTGCGTCGGGACCCACGGAGCACTCGTGTAGCCCCTCAGGAAGGGAGCGGTGGGGGAAGTGGGGCTTCAAGTAGCCCTGGGGATAGTCATGGTTGGAGAAGGCTGAGGAGAAAAGAGGCTTCTTCCCACTTCGCCTGCCGTCTCCGGCTGGGTGGGTGGGGGTGGGAGATTCGCTTGGACGCGAGATGCCGCTGTCTCGTCCGCTTTCCCGCTATACCAAGCCCTCGTAAAGCCACTATATGAACAAGTAACCCAGTCAGCAGAGGAGGCTGAAAAAGACATTTGCCTTTCCTTTGCCCCCCCCCCCTCTGAGGAAGAGCTCTTTTGGGGATTTCTAGACTAACTTCCCCTTAAAACGCACTCTATGGATTAGAG